ACCCAGGCAAACCACGCCCATATAATTCCCGTATGCAACACTGGGGATATACGCACCCAGGCAAACCACGCCCATATAATTCCTGTATGCTACCGTAGAAGGTCAAGATTCCAGGGGAGCAGAAAGAAGGGGGATGCTGATTGCTGTTTGCAGATGGGGCTGGAAAATCTGCCCAAGCCTCATCTCCCCTCGTAGTTAGGGAAACTGCACGTTCCCTGGGCTGGTATTTTATGCATTATGTACAGTGCCGAGCCTTCAGCCTAGTCTCGAACCTGAGCAAATATGAAGGACTATAGTAGAAGTGATGGGGTCTCTGTCACTATGGTGGGGGCATAGCCTTCCCACCTCCCATCTTTCCAGTGGAAGTGCAGAAGAGGGAGGCAGGCCATTGCGGCTGCCCACAGGGGCCTCACAATGGTGTTGGCCCAGAGGGAGGGGGAAAGGGTCAGTGAGCAGCAGTGGCCCAAACCGTGGCGCTCTTTAGTAAGGGGTCAAGGGATGTTTAATGTACTGTCTGAACACCAGAGTTCGGGCACGTCTTCCCGAAGCCTACTCCTGTCTCCAGAGGTTGGGAAATAGTTCTTGTTTTAAGTTGTTCCCATTTTAGAGCAGTTCCTCTCATTATTTAGCATTCTTTGGCCCTTTATAAAATTCTCTGTACAAATAAGCTATTTTTATTACTCACTCTTCTCAACAGGAGTCTGAGGGAATCCTGGGCAGTGGCCCAGCCCCACGAAAGCCCTCTCTCTAGAGAGTTCAAGTTTGGTTTTGAGGGACTGCAAACAGCATTTCATTCATAGTTTGGAAGTTTATTGGAGGCAGGAGGTGGGATGGCTGTCATGGCCCTACATGCCTATCTTTTCAGAATCACCAACCTGTGTTGCCCAACAATTTGAAGGAGTCAGGGTAGGATGATAAAAATAACAGTTTCTTCCACTTGCTAGTTTTGAGACAGTTCATGTTACTGAACCTTGCCAAATTCATGTGTTCCTCACACGTAAAAGAAGTGATCCGCAGACGTTTTTGTGAGAACTGCTACTTTTCATTGAATCCAAGAAGAATTTTTTAAAAGATTTATTTATTTGAGAGAGAGAGAGAGCACATACTCAAGTGAGCGAGTGTGCGTGCAGGGAGGGGCAGAAGGAGAGAATCCCCAAGCAGACTCCCCGCTGAGCCTGATGTGGGGCTCCATCTCATGACCCATGAGATCATGACCTGAGCCTAAGAGCTGGACGCCCAATGAACTGAGCCATCCAGGTGCCCCAAGATGCAATTATTTTTAAAGCTTATTTTTTTAGTAATCTCTACACCCAATGTGGGGCTCAAACTCACGACTCCAAGATCAAGAGTCACATGCTCTATTGACTGAGCTAGCCAGGCACCCCCAAGATGCAATTTTCTTTTTAAGATTTTATTTATTTGTCAGAGAGAGAGAGAGAGAGAGAGAATAAGCAGGGGGAGTGGCAGAGAGAAGGAGAAGCAGGCTCCCTGCTGAGCAAGCAGCCTGATGTGGGACTTGATCCCAGAACCCTGGGATCAGGACCTGAGCCGAAGGCAGACACTTAAGTGACTGAGCCACCCAGGTGTCCCAAGATGCAATTTTTAACGTACCACTAAGAAAGGACAAAAAACAAAACAAAACAAAACAAAACAAAAAAACCCCAAAAACCACCCCCTGCTAATTAAATTATGACATAATGATTTTTGATAGTCCTGGACAAGGGACAATATTAGCCTTTTGCCGCTTTGAGATTCTTTCATTTATTCTGAAGAACCTGGTAATTTCTCTGCCTTCAGCTATAAGCTTTGTGTATTGTAGGCAATCCTTCTACATGCATTCCAGTAATAAAACACAACACGCCTTCATCTACTTGTGATCCCTCTGATCTAAGGTGGGGTGTAAAGCTCACAATTGCGGCTTTGCAGAAATATATGAAATTGAGGCCATTTTTCTGATGTCAAACATTTGCCTCACTAATGGTACCCTATTTCAGTGACTTTCAGCATACAAGATAAATTTTCGCTTCAGTGCCAAATTGTAGTGTGATATTTCTAAAGACATTTTTAAATAGCAATTAAACTCAACAGGTGAAGTACTAA